GGATACATCAAAATATTAGCAGTGCCAAGAACAAAAAAATACAAAATAAAAAGAAAATAAATAAAAATTAAAAAATCTGGGTGGTGCCTGTGGCTCAGTGGGTAGGGTGCCAGCCCCATGGTCTGAGGGTGGCAGGTTCAAATCCGGCACCAGCCAAACTACAACAAAAAATAGCCGGGTGTTGTGGTGGGCACCTGTGGTCCCAGCTGCTCGGGAGGCTGAGACAGGAGAATCACCTAAGCCCAGGAGTTGGAGGTTGCTGTGAGCTGTGTAACTCTACAGCACTCTACTGAGGGTGATAAAGTGAGACTCTCTCTCTACAAATAAAAAACAGAAACAAAAAAAACAAATATTAGCAGTAGTGCATGCTTTCGTTTTCCTTATGCTCTTATTTTCCAAATTTTCAATGAAAATATATCACTTTTTCATTCAAGGGAAAAACCTCTGAGGGAGATAAAGCTTACAGACAGTTCTAACTCCTTTTCTATAGTTTCTTTGAAATATAAATTGCAAAGAGTTATCTAGATAACAAAGGTGGGGGACTTTACTGTGTTCTTTGGTACTTTTTGAATTTTGGACAGTGTAAATACATCAATTGCCCCATGTTACATTTCCAAAATGATCTGCCTTTTTTTTTTTTTCTATGTGACTTAAGCAAAAGCATGCTCTAAGATGTTAAATATACTTTATCCTTGTATGCTTCTCAATCTTTTCCTTTATAAGACCCTGGAATATATGGTTTAAAAGTCTTATCCATTCTTTTTTCATAGCTGAGACCACATTTCATTGCTTTACTCCACATGATTGCTCCATTTGGGAGATCTTTTTTCCTGAAGACCCCATGCCATGAGAAGCACTACTTACAGCACTGCTTGGCACAGTGTCTAACCCATGTAAGTCTCAATGTGCCTAGCTTATCATTGTTACTGGGAGGGCTTCATTTATTTCCATCTGCATGGATTTTGTTTTTTTATTTTTGTGTATCTTAAAATTGTCATGACCCACACATTCAGTACAGTAATACACTGTACAAGTTTGTAGCCTGGGAGCCAGAGGCTCTATCATGCAGCCTGGCTATGCAGTAGGCTATACCATCTAGGTTTGTGTAAGGACACTATGATATTCCAGACAAGATCCCCTAACCAAGTGTTTCTCAGTATCCCTGAGACTATCTTCAGACCGTATATTGTTTAGTACTGTTCTAAGTGCTTTACATCATCAGAATTAAATCCTCCCAAATAGGTACAGATGAGAAAACAAAGGCACAGAGAAGTTAAACATTTGCCCATGGTCACACACTGGTAAGAGGCCTGAGATGGGAAGCCAGGGTCTGCTCTTACCCATGGGCAATACTGCTCCATACCACCTATAACAAGATAGCTTAGAAACATACCAACCTGGCTGGGTGCCAGTGGCTCACACCTATAATCTAAGCACTCTGGACAGCTGAGGTGGGTGGACTGCTTAAGCTCAGGAGTCAGAGACTACTCTGAGTAAGAGCAAGACCTTATCTCTACTAAAAAATAGAAAAACTAGCTGGGCATCATGGTGGGCACCTGTAGTCACAGCTACTGAGGCTGAGGCAGGAGGATCGCTTGAGCCTGAAAGACTTTGGTTGTTGTGAGCTATGATGATGCCGCAGCACTCTACCCAGGGTGACAGAGACTGTTTAAAAAAAAAGAAAGAAAGAAAAAGAAACATGCATTCTGACATTATTTAAAAAAGAATTGTCATTAAAATATTTCTTATCAGGTTTACCAATAAAGTCAAAAGCTTGAAAATGAGTTCCTCGGGAATATTTTCTTCCCAGATGTATTCAACATAGCAAAGTCTACATAGATTCTACTACTTACATATCTGTTCCTTTTGCCTACCCAGCCAGTTTTTAGGCATATGGTGGTGAACAGTAGGTTTCTGGTTTGCATAGCACAGTCTTTCAATGTTTCCCGAAAGAAAAATATGACAGAAATATTCTACTGAGGATCCATTTCCAACTGGTGAAACAACTTCGGTGAGAAAGCTAATGCGAATAAAATGCACATGAAAATACTAAGAGGTGTTAGAAAGTCAGAGAAAAAGATGTTGCTATCAGATGTAAATCATGCCCACATGTAAAATGAAAACATCATCTCAGTTCAGATGGGCATATGAAAGCGTCTGAAAAGGGAGGAATGCTGAAAACAAAATAAAACCTGGCCACTAAATCATATGTAAACATGTGATATTACTCTTTTATCTCCTGCAGAATCACTGAGTCTTGTTGAGGACAAAGTTTTACAAACACTTAGTTGGTTCATTATACAACTAGGCAAAGAGATAACATCCAACCTAATCAGCCTGAGATCTTGGTTTCACATTTTTCTAAAGAATATGCTTAACATTGCTTGTGTCCTCTGCGCTGACCATAACTAATATAAATGGTCTTAATTCTAAATGAAGTCTTGACAAAATTCGAACAAAATTCACCTAAAATGCAGTTAAGAAATATTAAATTTCATTTTTTTAAAAAAGAAGAATCTCAAAGATATTCAGCAGGGGACCATTTAAAAGGTCAGTCATAGGCTCGGCGCCTATAGCTCAACCGGCTAAGGTGCCAGCCACGTACACCTAAGGTGGCAGGTTCGAACCCCCAGCCCGGACCCGCCAAACAACAATGACGGCTGCAACCAAAAAATAGCCGGGCATTGTGGCGGGCGCCTGTGGTCCCAGCTACTTGGGAGGCGGAGGCAGGAGACTCGCTTGAGCCCAGGAGTTGGAGGTTGCTGTGAGCTGTAATGCCACGGCACTCTGCCCAGGGGGACAGCTTGAGGCTCTGTCTCAAAAAAAAAAAAAAAAAAAAGGTCAGTCATAGTAAATGGATAAAATCAGTAAATTTTATATGTAAAATATGCCTCAATGAAGTTGCTTTAAAAAGAGTAAATGGAGATGGAGAATTTCTGGTACTTTCCTCATTTATTGTTCATCAATAATATACTGAAAGCAGAAGGTGACAATGTCCAACACTTAAAGAATCAGACAAGGGAAGGGCATCATATGCCCCAGACAGCCACTGGTTGGCTCCAGTGGATTGTGTCAGAAAAAAGGGTAAACCTGGCTATTCCAGATCTTCTAATTTTTCAGAAGAAGTGTATATATAGATTCTCCTGAATTAAAACACTAGTAAAACTGTGAGCCAGGAGAATGCACTTATACAAATGTACTCCAAGGCCACCATTTTGCAAACTGAGTGGAAGAATACCTTAGATATACTTAACACAAAGTTAAGAATACCTTAGTAAGAAAACTCTGAAGGGCCAAGAAAAGCTTTAGTAAATAAAAAAAAAAAAAAGCACAGCATTTTCCACTTTTTAAAAGTCAAACAATGTGCAAACTTACAACTATTTCAAAGAAAGACAGCAACATGGACCTGAAGTGAGTTTCTGGAACCCAAATGCCCACACTCCAAAGTTACTAACAATTAGAGCCAAGAAAGATTAACTTCCCAGAAGATTTGAGCACTTTGGAGACCAACCACTAAGGACAATGGTTTTCAAAGTCAGTGACTGAGCAAAGTTATTCTTGTAATAAAATAATTTTAATGAAGTATTTGAAATAATTTTAAACATCTGATCAATATGACTATATGCAAATATGAGAGTATGCTGCACTTAACAAAAAAATAAAGCTAAGCATTTAAATATACAAAACAACTTTGGATATAGATCTCTTCTTAAAGTACTCTTAACATAGACATAATTTATAGCATTTTACATAGTAACTTGCTGAAAACAAAATACATGGCCCATTTAAAATTTACTATGGTATATAACATGGCCTCAACAGTCCCAGTGAGAAGTACAGGATGAAGAGTAACATACTTGAGGTGGTTTTTTTCCTCCTCTGAATTCTTTTTTTAAAAAGCACAGCATTTCCTACTTTTTAAAACCTTTTTGAAGGATTTAATTATTTTTTCTGCATGTTATTCGAACTTATTTTTTACCAAGTTTATTCCACACAGGTGGAAATTTTTTTAAAAGAGGGTTTGCTTTGCCTATCAACTTCATCCACAGATGAATATATATAACATGCTTCTCATATTTAAAGCCAAGATCCCCAAGGTGAGATACTGATGTGACCTCTTAAGTACAGAATCCCAAATGGAGTCGTGTTGTTAAAATTTTAATCATCGATTAGGATTTTTAAATGCACCAAGATGCTTAAAACTTACAGTAACTAAAAGATATTATGAGAGAACTACAAGAGCCATCCTTCTTGGGATTTATAACAAAAATAAACAATAACTTCTTCCTTTTGAAATACTGTAATTTGAAAATGTTTGGACCCATGCCTATAGTCCAAGCTACTTGAGAGATTGCTTGAGACCAGGAGTTCGCATAGATGGCCTGGGCAATACAGCAATACTCTATCTGGTACATTTTCCTTTTTGGTTGGCTGTGATTTTTTTCCCCCATCAATGAAACATGTACCAGTCATTCTGGAGTTCTGATCCCACCTCTGCTTGCTGACCACAGGAAGCACATTTCCTGTCTTATGACTCCATTTTCATTTCTCCTCATCAGTTTGAATGCAACACCTCATCATTCCTTCCGATCCTTTCTACCTTTTCCATTTTCCCAATGAGGTATATCAGCAGCTTCAACCGTAAGGTTTCCCTGACATAGATGTTCCATCACTTGGTGATATAAGCCAGAGAATTAGCAACCCCAGGTACAATGTTTCCATTTTTCTCAATATTGGCATTCAGCTGACTAGTCACGACAGGCCCGTCTCTGTGTGTGTCACTTCAACTACAGAAGGTGATTGTCATAGATAGCTAAGCAACTTCTGATACCAGCCCAAAGAACCTAATACTTTGAAAACTGGTCAGTATAAGATGAAATCTATTTTCTTGTATTTTGCAGTGACTCTTCCTTCCTCCTGCATCTCAAAGCAGGCTGCATTAGGGAAAGACACCTCACCTGTTACAATTTGGCAAATAAAGCAGGTGATGACAACAGGGCCTTAACTTGTTGTAATTAAATGAATAGGTAGGTAGATGTCTACTTCTATGCAAACTGTATTTCATAACCGATTTTCAGAAAACAAAGACGAATTCTAGTCTGTAAAAACATGTGGGATGGATAGGTAAGACTTAATAAAAGTTTATGACTGTAAACAATGGTCTTCAATATTGGTAATTATTTTCCAGAAATTAAAATGTCAGGACAGTGCAACAATGCTCCCTATTGTCCTTCTTTGGCAGTAAACAGCAAGGATCTGGATGGACAGTGGAGCAGTCACTTCAGAAGGGCAAGGTATAGAGCTCGAGAATACTTCATCTCCCTTTCCTGTTCCATACAGAATATCAAGTCTCTGAGGCAGATTCTTGTGATTCTTGGACGAAGTACTTGTTTGGTGGTGGTCAGGCTGGATGTTCCAGAAGCAAGATTGTCTTTTAATCCCTAAACCGAATAAAAGCAGAAACAGATTAGAATAATCACTGTACACTTTAAATGTGCGCAGTCTTCTGTATGTCAATAATAAAAACCATAAAAGCCTTGTGTGGTTAAGATCCAAACATACCATGGTTCCAAAATCTTCAGTGGTTTCTTGTCCAGAGAAGCTACTTGAGAATTTGTAAAATTTTAAATACTATGTTAAACAATTCTTTTTTTTGAGAGTCTCATTTTGTCACCCTTGGTAGAGTGCCAACGTGTCATATCTCATAGCAACCTCAAACTCTTGGGCTCAAATGATTCTCTTGCTGAAGTCTCCGGAGTAGCTGGGACTATAGGCACTCACCAAAATGCCCGGCTATTTTTAGAGACTAGGTCTCACTCTGGCTCAGACTGGTCTTGAACCCATAAGCTCAGGCAATCCACCTGCCTTGGCCTCTCAGAGGGCTGGGATTACAGGCTGGAGCCACCACGCCGGGCCCTGTTAAACACTTATCACTTCCATTGCAGCCAGTTATGAGAGCTGTCCCCATTTATCAAATGAGGAAACTGAGTATAGATGAGTTAAGAAATCTGTTCAAAGTCATGTGGCAAAATCAAGCAGGGACTAAATTTTTAATTTGATCTAAAGTGTTTGCCCTTAATCACTGTGCTATATTATCCACCATATAAGGTGTATACCTACATAAACTCATCACCCTGGCTTCCCTTCCAGCCTTACTTCCCACTGCTCCTTTACAAAGCATTTTAACTCTAGCCACACTGTTCCTCTCTCTACCAAGAGGCAGAGTTTAGGCCTCTAGGCCTTTCTAGGCCCAGCTATTCATCTTTTAAGACCCATTTCAAATGGGTCTACCTGTCCCTTCCTCAAAGAATTCTCAGTGTGACAATTACCTTGCATTTTATTATAGTAATCTGTATATGCTCCCACCACCTCATACCCACTGGAGTATATGCTTTCTGAGGACAGTGATTATTGTTACTGTCTCCTATAGGGTTTAGCAGTGTACACAGAACAACACAGATGATCAATAATATTTTCTGATTTGAATGTACTGGTTTAAAATGTGAATTATAAATGTCATTTAAAAATGAAAGAAACTCTTTACTCCTGTATTAAGATAGTTCTCCAGGCTCTGCGCCTGTGGCTCAAGCGGCTAAGGCGCCAGCCACATACACCTAAGGTGGCGGGTTCGAATCCAGCCTGGGCCCGCCAAACAACAATGATGGCTACAACCGAAAAAAAAAAAAAAATAGCCAGGCGTTGTGGCGGGTGCTTGTGGTCTCAGCAACTTGGGAAGCGGAGGCAGGAGACTCGCTTGAGCTCAGGAATTGGAGGTTGCTGTGAGCTGTGCCACGGCACTCTACCCAGGGGGACAGCTTGAGGCTCTGTCTCAAAAATAAAAAAAAAGATAGTTCTCTAAATAGCAATATGTAAATATACTATTAATTTATTTTAACTGGAAGAAAAACACAGAATTCTGAAAAAATACTTTTATAAAAAATGGAATTCTTTATTCTTAAATTCTTTTTACCATCCTTTATTTCAAAAACATCTTGATAGAATTGACATTCTCCTTTATCCACCTAACAGACATACACAAGAAAAAATATTATATTAAATAAATCTTCTGGTTCTGTTACTGTCCTTTTCTGACCATCAAATCTTAAGGATTCCCTCCACTTTCTTGGTTGTTTTAAAGGAAGGGAGGAGAATCCACTAAAGTCTCCAAAATACCATGGTCAAATTCAAAAACAATCAATTTGGCTGGGCGCAGTGGCGCACACCTGTAATCCTCAACTCTGGAAGGCTGAGGAGGGAGGATCGCTTGAGCTCAGGAGTTCCTGACCAGCCTGAGCAAGAGCAAGACCCATCTCTACTAAAAGAGAAAAATTAGCTGGGTGTTGTAGCATATGCTTGTAGTCCCAGCTACTTGGGAGGCTGAAGCAGGAGGACTGTCTGAAACCTAGGAGTTTGAGGCTGCTGTAAGCTAGGGTGATGCTACAGCACTCAAGCCTGGGCAACAGAGTAAGACCCTGTCTCAACAAAACCCCCCAACATGAAAAACTCAGTCAACTTAATTCCATTTATATTCACAGGATGACTTGGGGAGCACTTTATCCAATAGTCAAATAAAATTGTCTTACAAGATACCATCCAGTTTTTGAGAAATATCATAATCATATTTTTATACTCATTTGGTTAAACTTGTTCATGAGTATTCATGTTACAAATTTTAGAAAGTCCATGTATTAGAAGAAAAAAAAGATTGGTTTCAGCTGCACAACTGTTCGGTTACTTACCTCTATCGTAGCAGGTGTAGCTAACCTTTTTTTTTTCCCTGCTGCACATTGAAAAATTAAGAGCTATCTTGGGCCACACAGTAAATATACAAGCACTAACAAAGGCTGATGAGCAAAAACAAGGTGCAAGCATACTTTCTGTGGCATGATAAACAAAAAGTCCTCACAAAACCATCATGTGACCCACAGGCTGCACACTGGAAACCCCTGCCTGTAGAGCCAATCTCTTACTACTTCTACATGGTTCTTGGTAATGAATGCAATCTATATAAGTGTTGGCCCCTGAAACTTCAACTAAGCATGGCAGTGAAGCACTGGAATGTCACTTTTCTCTGCTAGCAGAGGTGGTTTAATTAAGATGCAATCATGACTGTTATAAATTATTACTATCCAAGTATCTCCCTAAGATTTTTGCAGTATGAGCTTAACAGTTCAGGTCTGTGGAAAACTGAATAAAAAGTACACATTAAGAAGAAAGTAAAAGGCTGGGCACAGTGGCTCACACCTGTAATCCTAGCACTCTGGGAGGCCAAGGTGGGTGGATTGCCTGAGTTTACTGGTTCGAGAGCAGCCTGAGCAAGAGTGAGACCCTGTCTCTAAAAACAGCCAGGGGGTGTGGTGTGTGCCTGTAGTCCCAGCTACTTGAGAGGCTGAGGCAAGAGAATCATTTAAGCCCAAGAGTTTTTTTTTTTTGAGACAGAGCCTCAAGCTATCCCCCTGGGTAGAGTGCCATGGCATCACGCTCACAGCAACCTCCAACTCCTGGGCTCAAGCAAGTCTCCTGCCTCAGCCTCCCAAGTAGCTGGGACTACAGGTGCCCGCCACAACGCCTGGCCATTTTTTGGTTGCAGCCATCATTGTTGTTTGGCGGGCCCGGGCTGGGGATTCAAACCCGCCACCTTAGGTGTATGTGGTTGGCGCCTTAGCCGCTTGAGCCACAGGCGCCGAGCCGAGCCCAAGAGTTTGAGGTTGCTGTGAGCTATGACGCCATAGCACTCTACTGAGGGTGGCAAAGTGAAACACTGTCTCAAAATAAATAAATAAAAAGAATAAAGTAAAATGTATAATTGGTAGTGAGCAGCAATTTTGTTATTTATAGGAACTATCTCTTTAAACCTATAGTACATTTAACTAAAGGGAATTTCTTTAGTCATAAATTAGATGTATTAAGCTAAAGCTGAATCTATATATGTATCTTCTCAAGAGTTTGCCTAAAATCAGTAGTTTAGTGTTTTATATAAACCTTTAAACTAAATGAGTAGGTAGGTGAATACTATGTCTTGGCAAGTCCACAGCTATGTAAATATCCAGAGTGTTTATCACTATTATTCACAATGGTCCTAAACTAGAAACAATCCCAATGGCCATTAAAAGTAGAATAGCAGTTTATTCATATTATGAACTTCTACATAGCAGTAACAACTGTGTAACATGACATGGGAGAATATCACAAAAATGCTGAATGAAAAAGAAATACATACTATATAATTCCACCTGTACCGACTCTCAAAACAGGCAAAGTTAGAAAGTCAGGACAATGAGTTACCTTGAGGGAGATGAGAAGTAATCAGAAGGGGATCAAGGTTTTCTGGAGTTCTGGATATGTCCTCTTCTTGAACCAAGTACTGTGTACATAAGTGTGCTCATGCTGTGAAAATTCAGTGAGCTTATAATCTTGTGTACTTTTCATATTGATGTTATACTTCAATAAAAAAAAATTAGACTGCTATGAAAAACCTTGTCTCAGTAGAAAATTAAAATGGAAGCAAGGGGCTGGAGGGAGAAAATAAGGCTAAATTGCTAAACAGAAAAAATAAAATAAAGAGACCTAATCATCTGGATAAGGAACAAAGGGGTCACAGTTCGTGCTTGTCATGTGACAAGCCTGAAGGATCCAAAGGAAAGAGCGTATTACAGCTGCCAGCACAGGGTTGAAAAGGAGGTCATTCCAACAGGATGCAGCAGAAGGCCTGAGGCAATGTTATAAATGAAACAAACCCCAAGGGACATTCAGTAACCCAACAGAAATGTCTTTCATAATTCACAACTTCTAGAAGGTGATAGCATTCTTTTCTCCCAAATAGTGACTGATTTAGAAAGTCAATCTTTTTTGAACCCATATATGAAATATAAAGGCTTTTTTTGCTTTCCTGTACTAATGATTTGGCAAAGACCATAATGTTCATTTGTCATCTCACAGTGACCTGGCCAGAATAACCAGTTACCTCTCAATTATCCATACCAAGAGGGATGGAGAGTACACTGATAACTTATAGTCAGAAAAACCAAACCTGCATTTTCACCATCAGGTTTAATTTTCCTCCATTTCACCACGTTCTTTCCCCCAAAGTTGACTAGAACCGACTCTGGATGCATATCTGTCAATGCCAAACAACAAGGTCCAGAGTTTGTAAGAAGAAAGAAAAAGGCTCTTGTGACAATAAGATCCTATAAACAGAGCATTTTCCCTTGACTTTCTGCATAAAGATATATGTTTCTTAATCTAGATTCTTCACCTGGATGAAAAGAGGGTATACGAAAGATGAAAGAAACACGTCACCTACCAAGTGCACAGCAGAGGTCCTTAAGAAGCTTAATCAAACTTACATGTTAACATACTCTAAAAGTGCCAGGTCAATTAAATTAGCCTTCATTACTTTGTTAATAATTATATCACTAAACTAAGTTTCTTATTTTTATAA